GTTAGTAAATGATTACAGACTTTTATTTTTTATAAGGTTTTACAAGAGATGGGTTCTTAAAATTTCTTTTGAATAGTGCTGTTGTGTGTGTGTGTGTGGTAAACCTTTAATTGTCTGCAATGTGATGTGTTCCTCTGGGCTAGAGAGACTTCAGCTGTACTGACAGTGTGTTTGATAGGTGTCTGGAAGATTCTGAGCTGATGGGCCGCAGGGGAGTCACTTCTTCTTGAGGAATTTTATTTAGCTGCAGCTAATTGAGTAGTTTTTTCTTTAGAGGATAGACATTTGTTTACTCCCTTTTATGGCTTTGGTTTCAGTCTTATTTTATTTTAGCAGTCTTTCCTGATCAATACTCATCCTTGATTTACAGATTATCCTTTTAGATGCTCATGTTTTAGTAGCCATTGCTATAAGTCCATGTTTAATATGTTCTATTAAGTGTCCTCCAGGATTCTAGTAGCAAGTGATTTCTACATTTAAGGTCAGTTGAGTGCTTATCTGGCTATTTGGAATAAATGTTTCTAGGTCTGAAAAGTAGACAGTTCTTCTGTTAAAAGATGACAGTCATCTGTTGGATGTTGGATGTTGTGTAAATTGTCTATCAGTATTGTATATTGTGAACTGCACTCAGTTTCCTGTTGCATATAAATATGAGGAAATGCTAACATTGCTTAAACATCATTGTTGCTTTGAGTTAATAATTTTGTCCATATAGAGGCTGGTGAATAAATTACTTCACTTTCACTTGTTATGCTCTGCAGTTAAGACTGCATTAGGGCTAAAAATTAACAAGCTTTCCAAAGGCAAGCACATCCACCACTATATATAAACATATGTTGATGCAGTGTAATATATGTGAAATTCTCCATGCTGAGTTCTGAGTGTGTTAGCAGTGCAGAAATATAAGCCTGTGTTTTTCTAATATGACAACATCTCAAAAAGGAAAAAAAAATAGTTGACATTGATCTAGACGTGCCAAAAAGTGAAATGTGGACATATTTGAGAGGACATATTTGCTTTGCTTTCTGAAATGATACACTCAGGGATTTTTGCCACATTTCAGATATGTTCAAGAAAGTGAATTATGTAAAAGGTCAACATATTGGATGAAGTTACTGTCTGAAAGAATGACAGCTGTATTGCTAATCTATAACACTGTAGGATTTTTTTTTTTTGTATATGTGTATTTTTACAGTAATTTGTTGTGTTTTGGACAGATATGACCTAGTGTACATTGACTTGACAGTATGCAATTCAGAATACAATATTTTATTTTATGGAATTAGTGTAAAATATTTTAAAATCATGACAAATTTTTACAGTATACTAGAGCTGCACGTTTAATTGTTAAAATATCACAATCTCAATTCAAACACACATGCGATTTCATTCCTAAATGAGAATGATTCGGCTGTCTATTAAACCTTTGACAAGTACAATCACAGCGAACATTCAAAACATTGGTGCAGCCGTTGAGCCAGAGAGAGTTGTCAGCTTCACCAACAGTCTTTTCAACCACACAGTTAACTTACACAGTTCAATTACAATAATTCAAATAATCACTTTTTTACTGAGAGTTTGTATAGTTTGGATATAAACACTGATGTCTATGATAGAGTTATCACCTAATAAAGATTGCATAAATTACATTGTTATGCCAGTAGTGTGACAAGTGTATTTGTCATTGAATCATTTATTTAAGAGATTCGTTCAAAAACGCAGATTCATCCAGTAATGAAACAATTGGAGTCTTTATAAGTGAGTCAATGAATCATTGAATTCATTCATTCAAACCGTAAAAAAAAATGAATATTTGAAAATATGAAAATATTTTTTAAATAGACTGTTGCTATTAACATTTTGTCAGAACCTCTAAAAAATGACATGGTTTTGTTTAGTTGTCTATTCAGAATCGTGGGCGATTTGTGATCTCTTAAACAAAAACAATCGTGATTCTGAATTTATCCAGAACCGTGAAGCTCTACAGTACAGTATACTCTTTTCCCCCCTGTTTTTTTTTTTTTAAATAGTGATGCTGATGCCAATCCACATCATATAGCCTAATGAATAATTTCTGACAGAATCAAAATATTAAACCATTAGAAATGGATAAATATCTGAATATTTCTGAGAATGATTTACTTTCATCATCTGCTTTTTTCATCAGCCTATTTAGAGTGTTTTACTGACTAATTAAAAACCCACAAATGGACGACAAAATCAGTCCCGCCCATCTGGTGTCAAGGAGACAGCTGTTACATCCCTTCTCTCCCGGGGAGCAGATAGAAGAGCTTGCTCTGTTATTTCAGACAACATCGATAAAAACACTATGGATACACAGCATGCAAATCGTTACAGTGACTCTCCATCAGGTGCCAGAAAGAGTGAAAAATCTTTATAGCTAATGAAAGTGCAAATGAGGCATTTGGTTAATGATGGGGTGAGGACAATATTGGCCTGATTGCACGAGAATGAATTAAGCAATGCGTGTTATGCTCTGAGACAATTGTTGCTTTAAAAATCAATTTTATAGAGACGCGGAATGCTGCCATTTTAAGTAGAAACGTTATTTTTCCTTCCGTAGTTATAGATACACTATATAAATATCCTGTATTTTGCCGTCCCAGTCTTTAGAACACACTGTATTAGCTGAATAAATTTCCAGGACTGCAGGACCTCTAGTAGAAAATCCATATCTTGATGCTTGACAGTTTACATGGTAGAAAGTGGTGCAGAGTCATACTTGCTTGAAGCGTTGCATTGTGCTCTTTTTAATGAGGCATGAATGTGGCATGAGTAAATGGTTGTGTGTTTTCTATCAGGATGCGTAATATATGGATTTAAACGCATGGATGAAATCACTCATGCTAAGCTGAATAGCTCCTTCTACTCAGAGAATTTCATATTGGTTGTGTCTTAAAAATAAAAAAAACCCTCTAAATCAGATATCCAAACTGCTTTTTCCAGCATTCTGCCTCTCGGGTCCCTAACTCTATGAAATAACTTGGTCTGCATTGATTTTATTGGTCTCATTTATGTTTTATTGCATGAAATTAGTGTAAAACATAATAAAATTATGAGCATTTTTTACAGTATGCCTTTTTCCCTTTTTTCCCCTTTTTAATAGTGATGCCAATCCACATAATGAATAACTGCTGGCCCAATCAAAATATAAAGCATTAGAAATGGATAAATATCGGAATATAACACAGAATGGTTAGACACACAGAACATTTTTCTCCATCTAGCACCAGCTGTACCTCTCTTGACAGCACAAACATTTTGAATTAGTAAAGTTAGGCTCCAGTTTCAGTGCGGTTTGATACGGTAGCAGGGGTGCGTTAGGTAACCCCTGGGTTGTCCTAAAGTGGAAACCTGTTCATGTTACTTAATGAAAGCAATATTGGTAACACTTTAAAATAAGGTTCATTTATTAAACACTAGTTAATGTATTAACTAACATGAACTGACCATGAGCAATACATTTGTTACTGTTTTCGTTAATCTTTGTTAACGTTAGTTAATAAAAATCCAGCTGTTCATTGTTTGTTCATGTTAGTTCACAGTGCATTAACTAATGTTAACAAGATTTTAATAAAGTATAGTAAATGTTGAAATTAACATTAACAAAGATTAACAAATGCTGAAGAAGCATTGTTAATTCTTAGTTAATGTTGTAGTTAACTAATGAACCTTATTGTAAAGTGTTACTGCAATATTAATAGTATAAAGGAATGAGAAACAACATCTGACTTATTCAAAATGTGTAAGCATAAATTATGTGTTTGAAGGCTTAATTGATTGTACATTTTGCCTCATAGCGGTTACTAATTGTCAAAGTGTTAGAGGCATGTGCACAGCCTGAGGGTAAGACTAGATGCACGAATTGAAAATGTTAAAGGGGAACAAGTGTTTATGCAGTGACATTTTAAAGTGTTTCATAGTATGATAAAACACTTTAAAATGCATTGTGCATTGATAAGATGCACGGTTCAAAAGAAACTTATGCTGCTCTTTAGCTGGATCAGAGTTCTGGTTGAAAATCTATGTGTTGGCAAATTAAGATTTAATAGCCTGTGCAATTACTAAGTCTGATTAGCAGCCAGTAAGTGTTGGTGCTGTAAATTTCAGGATTGTTTTCACTGATTCATGGGTGCCAATAAGGCCTGAGTCATCACACTGTGGTTGGACAGAGGAAAGAACATAAAGGGACAATGTGCCTTATAAACTGTAAATAAATCAAGAAATCAATTTTGCTTATATGCAGTGATTCAGCATGTGAAGTATATTGAATTTTTGTCAGGTCAATGTATTGTAAGGCTATAAGCAAATGTTCTTTGGAAATAAAGAGAATGTTTCCTAGCTGCTGCAAGTTTTAAAGCATCAACTCAAATACATCATGTAGGCTAATTGATCCACATGCATAAGTCAATTAATCATGCAATACAATACACAATGGTTTTCATTGTCATAATCTGTGCAAAAGCCAGTGTAATAGGAATGTTTAAAGACATTTTAGAAGGTCTTAAGAATGGGCTATAAATATTATGTATAGGCCTATGTGCTTTAACTTGTAATCTAATTTTTGTGGTCTCATACGTTTAGAGACACAATTGAACTTTCTTTAGGCCTATAGTAGGCTATGTGTAGAATCAATACGGAATTAAAACGTCTTAATACATACTTCTGCTTTGTTTAAGCATTTAAATAGTGGGAGTTAAACACCCTAATTTAAGTCATCAACCAAGTAATCAGCGCCATACAGAATAGCCTACAATGATTGTCATTATTTTGATAATCAGCGCAGATGGCAATGTAATGGAAACGTATGGTATGCTAAATTACATTTGGAGTGTTTTGTAAGATATAATATCTGAAAGTAATGTATCATGCATTTAAGCCGAGAGATCTGTATAGAGAGCGCAGCACTATATGCGCTGAGGAAGCGGATCGCCTGTAAAGCGGCACTGCGGCAGTACTGTATCAATCCGCCCGGTCCCCGCTCGCTCTGGGATCCTGAAGCACGGACTCGCGGAGAGGAGCAGCTTCGCTTCCTTGCAGGATTTATTTGTTTGTGGAAAAATTCTCTTTTGTTTTCCGTTCTAGAGCAGCGCGCTTTCCGAATGTCGACGACTCGCTCGGACGGCCCTTCTCCACTCGCCAGGCTTTGCATGTGTTGCTTTTGTCCTGCAGGAGAGAAGGCAGGCTTTGTGTTTTGGTGGATCTAGAGCTGAAGGAGGCAGTGCCAGGCGCTGCTGCTGCTGCTGTGGGCTGGACCTGCCACGGTGCGTGATATTTACTGACGGAGAGAGAAAAAGAGAGAGACAAAAAAGACTCATGGAAGACAGCGAGAGTGAAGGGAGGGCTGGCAGGGAGTGTAAATACATTAAAACCATTTATATATTTGGTGTGTGAGTGCGCGCGCGCGCGCGCGTGTGTCTGACAGGAGTGCCAGCACAGGGCATCATCAGGTTCAAGGGATATGTGATTGGGAATAGCTTTGTAATAATAGCCGACCTGTACTGTTGATCATTGCTATTGGTAAAATGTTACTGGGATGCATAATTCATATGGAAAAAGTAAGATTGCAATGCTGATATTCAGTGTTTTGTTAGTGGTGGATTTTTAAGGCAGATGGTTGGTGGTTGGTGGCCACTGGCCAGTGAAGTTTAAGTTGATGAGCGCCTATGATGTCATAATGTAGCTGCTGTAGATGTTCTTGTCATCTTGTGAAGTAAATTTACATTGATGCTTGATTTTGATGTCAGTATTGCTGTTTTAAATCTTTGTTGTCTACTAAGGTTAACATTTATGGCTATTTGTGATATAACAAAGGTGTTTGTCATCTGATGCTGTTTGATGCTTGATTATGATGTCATAACGTAGCTGCCGATTTGGTCAATCAATTATTAATAGTTATGATGTCAATGTTACTAGTACTACTGTAAGTGTTCATGTTGTCTAGTAAAGTAATTTTTTTAGCCGATTACCAAAATGTAGGTGTTTATGTCATCTGATAATGTTTTAGGTGATGTTTGATTATGATGTCAGTGTAGCTGCAGATTTAGTGAAGTTGATGGATGATTATGATGTCATAATGTACTGTAGATTCTGTATGTGTTCTGTCAGTTGTTGGAGTTGATAGCTGAATATGATGTCATAATAATGTAACTACTGAAGGTGTTAATGTCTGCTGGTGATGACCATGATGTCATCAATTTGACATCATATATGACATCATGCATTTTAGCCACAGCCTTTTGGTAGAAAAAGATGATTCTGCTAAAAAGCTTCATTAGTTTAAAAACAAACAACTTAAGCAACTTTATAATGACAGAACATTATACATGAACACTGCAATTATTTATTATGTTGTGCAGACTTGTCTCTTTTCTAAGATTAATGAAAAAATAATGCTTAGAAAGAAAAATTTCAGAGGCTGTGCTGGCCTTGGTTTGTTAGTATTCTAATTCTAATAACCCGTGCTGCAGAACCTGTACACTTCTCTTTGACAGCCCTGAATGTAGCTAGTTGTATTGAAGGTTTTTAGTGCTTTATCTATAGTTTGGTTACATTGGGAAATAAACAGAGGAACCCTTAGTAGAGATTATCAGTAAGGTGCAGAATGATTTTTTTGTGGCTCTTGGTCTTGTACATAGATGTAACTCTTTAGAGTAGATGACTAGAAGTAAGCCATACATGTTCCGTCAGTGTTGAACTAAAATTTGCTGTGAGAAAATGACAATTTTTTTCTCTTGATCTACAGCTCTGTTAAGAAAAATGAATAATTTTACTCCGCCTGTCTCCGGTTATAGCAGTCACAGAATAATGACTGTGCAGGAGGAGCAATATAAGCTCTTGAATATGTAATACAGGAGATCTAGACTCAGCTCTGTAAATGGCTCATTATACGATGTATTTATTCTGCAAGAACACATTTTGAATAATTTCCTACAATAGATTTTGTTTTCTTTCAAGAAACTGTAAGATCTAGGAAGATGGGAATGTGAAAGTGACTATAGTCATTGTGGAATTAGATCAAAAGGAAAACATCTTAAGATGATCTCTTGCAGAGAGTCCAAATGTATTATGAAAATTGCTATATTCATTTGCCTGCATGATGTATTCCTATGTATAGCTAAGGGTGGGTATTCTAGGAATGCTCTTATAGAGAACATTTCAAACATCTGCTCTCTATCTCTTTGACTTGTAGGATGGGAAGGTGTCAGACTGCACTTAAACAGAGTGTTGGGTCCGTGAGGACAGCCATGTGGAGACCTGTTACAGCTCCGTTGGAAGACACTTCAAGTGATCTGCCAGTTTGTTTCCCTTAAACGTGGTCTGAATTTGGAAGTTTGGATACTTTCCAGTTTGGCAACCCTTAACAGGATTCTATTTTGGATTTTTGTGCTTGTGGATATATGCATTTTTCTTCTGGAATCTCATGTGCGTATTGCATTTCAAGCAAAGTCACATAACATCAGCCGGTTGTGGGATTTGGATAATAGCACATCTCACACTGGAGTTCAGTTATTAAGCTTTCAATTACAGGCGTTTGTTGGGAATTGTGCGAGTTCTGCATCCACAACTGAGCTTGAGCCAAGAACCTCCTTTCTAGGAAGTGTTCGTTTGAGTGTGTCATCTGGTGAAATGGATGGCCCGCGGTGCAGCGGGATCCGGAAAAAACGGAAGTCTCGGTCCGTGCGAGACCGGGAGCGCATGTCTAACGGGATCAGGAATAATCGTGTCCGGGGACCCGTGCTTCGATTCTCCTCGGATTCTGAGAGGGAAGACCGCACCAACCCCTCCTCCTCCTCACGACCCAAGCCACCGAGGAGGAAGAGGAAGGAGTCTACCTCTGCTGAGGAGGACATCATTGACGGATTCTCAATATCAGGATTTATAACGTTGGAAGCTCTTGAGGTAAGAGACCAGGGTAGTCTTGTACTGCGGACTTCGCGTGAATGTTTTTGACTGCTGTTTTTGGAAGTGCTTGTTTGGTTTGGCTGTGAAAAGCTCAGTGGCGGTATAATGACTGGTTTATTATTGTCTGTAGACTGCTTCTTTCTGGACTCTAATTGCCTGGGTCTGTTTGCACAGTATTGGATTTTCTGTTGTTCCACTGTGAGTGTGTTTGTGATTCAAGCAGATGTGGCTTTATATGCCATTTTCCTGCCAAAGGCATAAGGCACATCTGAATTTGTGTGCTTGCGCATTATTCAATGCCATTTTGTATGACAGATACTGTGTGTGTAGAGTGTTCACACTGGACATTCCAACAAGAAGTGCACTTCAAATACTGTACTTGGATGATGCACTTATTTAACTGAAAAAACGAAACAAAGTGCAGAACACGACAATTCATGCACTCAACTATTAGCCTACAGCTTTCCTTAGGTAGAAGAAGACAAGGGACTATAGTGTGTCTTTTGAAACACACAACTATTGTTGAGGATATCCCTGCTTTAAGATGCAGTTTCGAGAATGTTGTTGACTGTTTTAGATCGAACTTGATGTTTGAATACTAATAATCTATTATAACTGTTCTTATATATAAATCATCATATATAGAAAGGATGTTATCTTTAGCAAAAGGTGTTCATGTCTTCTGGTGAAGTTGAAGAATGATGATCATGTTGTCATAATTTAGCTATAATTGTTGATGGTTCAGATGACAGATTTCAGTCATAGATTTATAAATATTATGAAACAAAAGAATGAAGCATCTAGATCTCTAACTCCTTTTGACAGCATTCATATTGAAACTAAACAAGCTGCTTTGGACTGTTACACATATTATTGGCAGATTGATCAAATGGATACTGTGTGGATGTTTATTATTGTTCTGATTATTGGGAAAACTGTCATATGAGTTTAAGGCTTTATACAGCCGTCAAGTGAAGTTGGAAATATGTTACATGCACAGAAATAACCAAGTGAAGTTTTACCAGTGGGAAACTCAGAATTTTACAATTATACCTGAGTTTTGATGTTTAAAAGTAAAGGCTGAAATACACTACATAACTTTTAACATCTGAATATATTTTAAAACACTAGCCATCATACACTTTCCGACTTTGTAAAAGGTTACAGAGAAAAACTGGCCATTATACACTGAACGACTGAGGATCATACCAGACTTTTCCTTTTTGTGAAATTTGTCATCTCCGACTGCCTAAAATCTGCAGACTGGCGCAGACTTGCGGCAACTATTGTCAACTCATCTAGATTCTAGACTGCAGATTGGGGCAAAAATCTGAGCAAAAGTCATGTAGTGTATTCCAGACTTAAGACACTGGAATGGAAAGCAAGGGGTCAAGTTTTTGATTGGGGTCCTGCTAACAAATAGCTTTTTCCATTTATAAGAGCTTCTTGGTGGAAAGCAGTAAATGGTAAATTAAAATGACCAGGCTGTCTTTCAATAATATTTTTTCATTATTTAATATTTTTATTTATGTTATATTAAATATGATTAATTTTGTCATATTATAGTTAAGTAATATAAAGCTAATTACTCACCCTTTGCAGTTTGCAAGTTGCATGATTTTAAAAGCTATGCATTTAATAAAACATAGATTGGGTATAAGTAATGCAGGTGTATTCACTTATGGTTACAACAGTTTTTTTTTTTTCTGTCATTCTCAATACTTCCATATCTTGTTTCTGACTTTTGATGTGTCTCACCAGGAGCACTTGAAGGCAGCATTGGCCCTCACCATTGTTTTATTTGTCAGTCTTGACAGGACATCTGTAGAGTGTCATTCTGACTTTCAGCGTCGCTCTTGCTGTTAAAAGCCCAACAGTCTGACACGACAAAGCTTTGCACGCTTTACCCTCACATCCCCTACAGATGCTGTTGCATTGTTCACTACAGTAATCTGTGAATGGAGCCCGTCAGCAGCTTACACTGTCAGGCTAGCGCTATGAACCGCAGGCGCAGTTCTCCAGGGGTGACATCTCATTCACCGCTCTTCACTGTTCTGGGATCTGTGACTTATAGCCGTCCCCTGCATGCTCTCTCATCTTGCTTCATTTAGAAGCTCACAGAGCAGGAGACTTTTTTACCGTTATTGAATCCTTACTGCGTCATATCATTACGCCTGCTGCACTCAAGGTACGGCTGTAAAGTTTCTTGATTATTACGCAGGAATGAGAGTATAGTTCCTAGCCATATCAGCCTAGAAAATCGCAACTTTACATTTTCCGTCGGTCTTAGTGCACGATGTAACTACAGAAGATTCAAGTTTTAAATAGGAAAAATATCGAAACTCTTTGGTCATTTTTTTTTTGAGAAATGCTAATGGTCTTGTCCACTTCAATGATGTATGCTAAGCTATGCTAAAAGTGGTACCGCCAGAACCGGAGATCGGCTGAATGGGTTCAAAAACGGTAAAACTCAACAGTTTAACTCTGGGGGAGTTGTAAAATGAGCCTATTTCCAAAAAAAGTGGAGTATCCCTTTAATAGTGATTATAGAAAAAGGATTATAAATGATAAGAGGGGGAAACTGGATATGGAAATGACACAACCTCCTAGACTCACATTTTCCATATATGAGCACCAGAGCTCACTCAATGCATCAGTGCAAACTGCAATTCCACAGCAGCAAATTTATTGAATTTTTATCATATGAAATAAAGCAGTAGGGGGATGTTAATATTGGTTTTGCTCTGATTGCTTGCTGTTGTGATTTTGGCCCAAAAATGTAGCAGTAATTTTTTGTCCATATGAATCTACGTTTACAATATGTCAGACAGTCAGAGCCATCTTACTTTTACCTAATACACCTATTCTCTCTTTATCCCATCTCTTTCTCTTCCTCTACCTCACTATTTCTATTTCTTGTCCTTCTTTTACAACAATCCCTTGATGGTTTCAATTTGAGCAGGAATTTGTCCTCAATTTGCCAGGAGGGGCTTGAAGAATTCGAACAGGTATTCCCAAATGACACATTGAAATCCAACTCGTTCCACTCCAGTGGTCAGACTCGCTCATATAGGAGTGAGCCATCAGCGACCGGGTGTTTATTAATGCTGCTTAGTGCTGGAACGACAGGCCTGAGAGGCAGTGTGTTACACCACTTTGAGAAATTACTAAATCATCAGGCTCGGGCCGCCTCAACAAACCTCCTCCCCCTTGGTCCCTGAGCACAAAGTTGCCACGTAATCGTTTCAACCTCCTCCCCCTTGCCCGCCTCTGCATCCCCAATTCAATATTACTTAATGCCTGCACCACTGGTGTCCTTAAACCACTTTATGTGATCATTGTGTTGTAAAGCTCCAAGCTCATTTGATTGAGAACAGCAGTCACCCTGCCTGCGTTCCCCACTCCATTGATCCACTCGTAAGAAAATGGTTAAGTCAATGTAAATAATACTAATGTTCTAGCACGTGCCTGACGCAAAACAAAGCATTTGTTCTACACAATGTTTTTTCTCTTTCAGCTGGCTATCAAAATAGCTTTTCTGATCTTAATGCGAACACATCTAATGTTTCTTTTTGTGTTTTCAACTCCATTGTGTTCTCCTCTTTAGCTAAATTGATGAGTCGCATGTTAATGATTTCAGACCGAGCTTTTATCATTTACAAATATTTACACAGCCTGCAATAATTTCAATGGAGTTCTAGAAAAAAAGATTAGCTTTTCAGAAAGAGACATGGAAAAGACAGAGCGGGGACCCATCGTGCCAGGCAGTGGATGGTTGAAAGTGGAAATTAGGTCATGGCCGGAGGAGGGGTTGGCATGAGGCCCAGAGGGGCACATCTTTCGTCTATCGCCTAATGCCACAGCAAGACAAAAAGCATCCTGACAACTTGTAATTCATTTGAAATGTGAGTGAACTCTCAGTGTTATGCATTCATGAAAGGTTACGGTCTGGTAAATGTGTTGCAGTAAGCGTAAATCGTCTTCATAATGTAAATTGTTTTGGATAAAAGGCATTAAAGGAATAGTTCACCCCAAAATGAAAATTATCCCATAATTTCCTCACCCTCAAGTCATCCTGGGTGTATATGACTTTCTTCTTTCAGCCTAACACAATCAGAGTTATATTAAATAATATCCGGGCTCTTCCAGCTTTGTAATGGCATGAATAGTGTCCCGAGTTTTTGAAGCTCCGTAAAGTACATCCATCCATCATAAAAGTAATTCATGCGACTTCAGTGAATAATATCCATATTTAAAACGTTCTAAAATATAATCACTAGCTTCCGGCAACAGCTGTACGTGCATCGAGTTCCTGCGGAAAGGTGACCTCTGACCTGACCCCTCTTCAATTATATCGAAATCCTCCTGCATTTTTCTTTAAAACTTTTAGTTTAAAGGCCTGTTCACACCGGGACGAATTTCGCGCGCGATATTCGCCGACGTTTAACGCCTCGTGACTAAACAAAGGGCGCCAATGTGAGTGTGCACACCGGCGCGAAAAACGCCACGCGTAAAAGCGTCATTTTTTTTTTTTAAACGCCTCGGGTTCGTTTTTTTTGTTTGACGCGCTGCGTCAAAAACTATCCGACCAATGAGATTGGCGCTTTTGCTCATGTGTTGGAGCTTCTGAAGTTTCAGTAAAACACAACTTGGGGGCACTCAAACACAAAACGGTCTTGCCGAGCACACATACGTAACGGCGAAGAAGATATACGCCAAGTAGCGTCTACACTGCCGGGAAGAAATATGACGAGGAAGATGCAAGGCAAGATGAATGTAGAGCTGCTGGTCTCGTTGCTGTCGGAACATAAAGAACTATATGACAAACGCGACAGCGACTACATCTAAATCTTAATAAAAGAGAATGTTATGGAGTGGTATTGCAGAGCAAATGGGCGCCATCTAATGTCAGGGAATGAATTTGCATGTTCACTCGGCTCATCGTCAGCGAAAATCGCTTGGGTGTGAACACAAAAAAACGCGTTGAAAAACGCTGC